GAGATGCTAGACATCATTATAGGATGTACAGTAAACTATACAATTTACAGGATATTTAGTACAGGAGGGTTCCATTAAGTGGAAAATTCCATGAACCTGTACTGCCAGTAGAAAATTTTCTTTGCCTGTTTAAATAAATATCACCTCATACTGTATAACATTTGAAGATGTATCATTAATAGTGTAATAAATCAGAAATAATTCATTAGTACTGCAATAATTATTATTACTACATATTCACAGATTGATCAGTAGTAACCTCATATTATATATAATAACTAAATGTGTAAGCTTCAAGACTCATGAGTTGTTATCTCCCTCTAGCTTTGTCTTCATGGCTCTTATGGAGTATGCAGTAATATGTGTTATCTTGGGGGATGAGTCCACCAACACTCCCAAGTCAAAACCATCATCAACGAACAGGAACTCAAAGATGTCCCCTACAAACATCAAGGTGAGTTAAATTATAAGATCATGTAAGCTAATCTGATATACAGGTTAACCATTACAGTACAGCAGGTACAGTACTCTACTCTAAAGTGACATACAGATGTCAGCAAGATGTCATGAAGTTAGAGTAACCATTGTGTCCAATCACAGTTCTGAGAACCCAGTGACTATAATATGAAGTAAAATATAAGTTTGTCATTTCTTTTATATATATATATATATATATATATATATATATATATATATATATATATATATATATATATATATATATATATATATATATATATATATATATATATATATATATATATATATATATATCAAGGTTGCCTTCACTTATGCCGAGATTTTAGTTCTAACCTTAGAAGAGGCTGCTACAGTAGAGTTAAACCAAAAATCCTTTTAAATAAAGCTGTCAAGGAATCAAGGCTGACAAGCCTAAACACTGAGGTTAGAGTAGCATTCCACTTCCATATATAATAAATAATAATAATAATAATAATAATTAACGGTTTATTGAAAGAGCTTGGCAGCCAGAAGGCTGAAAATATACAGTTACATAATTGGGGAATGGGTTTCGAATTACAAATAATATACAAATAACATAAGTGATATAAATAAGATATATAATAACTAGATAGGGAAAAGCTCAAACTACAGGGCATTTCAACATAGTGACAGTGCAAGAAGTAGTATTTACTGGGAGTGAATACACTGGTTTATAAACGTGTTTTCAATTAGTTGTGCTGTTATCCATGTGTTTTGGCTTACAAGTAAGAAGATTAGATATGGTAGGTAAAACCCTTTAAAATCTGACATGAATACAGCTCCTCCCTGACTTACGACGGGGTTAGGGACCCAAATCCAGGTTGTAAGTCGAAAATGCTTAAATAATACTGTACAGGTTGACAATCCTTTACCCGAAATCCTTGGGGCCAGAGGAATTTCGGATTTCGGAATTTTTCGGTTTTCAGAATGGTTAGTTTTTTTTTTTTTTTATATTCACCTGGCATAGATCACTGACCCACATCAGGGCCTGGGTCGAAAATATAATACAAATAATAATAATAATAATAATAATAATAATAATAATAATAATAATAATAATAATAATAATTCATAGGTCTAAGTCGTGTTTCTCACTTTTGATCTTTTTTCATTCTTGTATTTCTATATTTCTACATTTACGCGGTACCCTGAAAGAACCGGAATTCCCACTTTACGCGGTGCATCTACTCATATACGCGGGTGAAGTATAATTTTGTTATTTAACTCATAAAATTCATACAAATTACCCGGCCAGAATATAATTTACATTGCTGGAATTCTTACAATTTGATGATCATTTTGAATATAAACATTATAGATTTTGCATTAGACATACAAATTTTAGATCTACTGTAAGTATTTTGTTTACTCTGAGCAAATATGTTATCTTTTGTGCAAAATATATGACATTTATATTAAAAATATTCCTGGTCTCGCAAGGAATCCAGCAATGTGAACTATATTATCCTAACTTTAGTCTGAGGTATTATTTATTCCTAAAAACATAAATATTCTGTTTCTCCCAAACATTTCTCTGGTAGGGAGGGAAGGTGGGGGGTGGGGGGAGGGAGGGACCGACCGACCCAGCTGGCGTGGTGGGGAGAGGGGGGGAGGCAAGGTGGGGTATTTTGATTGACAGATAGTATTTGGGTAAGTATATTTTGTTTATTTATTGAAGATATTTGTTTTAGTTCATAAAATTCATACAAATTACCCGGCCAGAATATAATTTACATTGCTGGAATTCTTACAATTTGATGATCATTTTGAATATAAACATCATAGATTTTGCATTAGACATACAAATTTTAGATCTAATGTAAGTATTTTGTTTACTCTGAGTAAATATGTTTTCTTTTGTGCAAAATATATGACATTTATATTCAAAATATTCCTGGTCTTACAAGGAATCCAGCAATGTCAATTATATTATCCTAACCTTAGTTTGAGGTATTATTTATTACTATACCTTAAAATCTTGTGTTTTCCCCCAATCATTTCTCAGAGAGGGAAGAGCCAGGGAGTGTGAGAAGAGCGGGAGGGAGTTGAGTCCATTATTTGAATGGACATTAACTTGGCGACTGTATTTCTCTATTTCTTTTAAATATTAATTGTGTGCGTGTACCATCATAAAATTAAGATGTTATTTTTACTAGAACATCGGTATTGTGTCGGAAAAAGTGGAGTTTGGGGGTCTGCCCAGTCTCTATTTCAATTAATCCCAAATATTATGTTGTTCACTTTACGCGTTTCTCACTTTACGCGGGCTGCCGTGGGTTCAATTGACCGCGTAAAGTGAGGGTTCACTGTATTTTTATTAAAATTTTTATTTACTATGAATAATTATTATTATTATAATTATTATTACTATTACATTTTCTCCCCACAAGCCCTGATGTGGGTCAGTGATCTATGCCCGGGTGGGCTAATCCTTGTTAAAAAAAAAAAAAAATTGCCCCACAAAAAAAAAAAAAAAAGCTTTCAGTTTTCAGAGCTTTTCGGTTTTCGGAATTTCGGATAAAGGGTTGTCAACCTGTACATAGAAAATCTAAAATGGGTGTCTCTTTTTCTTCTCAGCACCACAAAACTCTCACTTTTAAGCTTGCCAGCCATTTTAAAGAGAATTACAAACGAAAATTTTGTCAGTACACAGCGCAATCACTGACGTAGGGATTCGAAAATACGCAATTTGACAAAACTTTGGTTCGACTGAGGCGGTCGTATGTCCGAGTGGTCATAAGTCTAGTAGGTCGTAAGTCGGGGAGGAACTGTAATGGTTTACATTCTAGTGGAGTCCTCAAGGTACACACTTTGCACATGAAGGTGTTTTTCACATTTAGCATTACATATGGTGAAGACATGAAGCACAATGCACAGCTGTTTATATGTGATCCTAAGCTCAAGTTCAGTATAAAAAATATTTGGGTGGTAAAAAGTAAATTGCATATGTATGAATCTGATTTTTTTGAAGTCAGCATAAGTGATAGCAACCTGTGTACAGGTACAAAATAAAACAGTCAACCCTCGCTTTACCCAGTCCCACATTCCGCGTTTCCACGTTTACGCGGTACCCTGCCAAAACCGGAAGGCTCACATTCAACGGTGTGTGTACCCCTTTTCGCGGAGAGCGGCTGGCGAGCCGCGCTATTTTTGGATCCAAACCTCCCGCCATCTCTCCCGCCATCCGCCATGTTGTGTAAGCGGCGCGAGCAGGGTGCGCACAAGGTCGCCCAGTCATCAAAACATTACCGAGTTCTTCACCCGCCACCCACCACAGCCGGCCCAAGCCAGTGATAGTGATAATGATAGTGAGGATATGGACTTATATGGACTTTGAGGGGTTTGACAAAGAGGCCCTGCAAGCCTCTGTGGTGGATAGTGATACAATTGATACAAGTGATACAGGTGAGGGCCAATAATCTGCCCTCTGCCTCGGAACCAACCCCCCATCCCCATGTGCCCAGCCATCTTTTCTACTAATGTAAGTGTTAAAAAACCTAATATTATTGATATTTCTCTTAATTATTAATTGTGTGTGCATACCATCATAAAATTAAGAAGTTATTTTTACTACAACGTAGGTATTGTGTCTGAAAAAGTGGAGTTTGGGGGTCGGCCCGGCCTCTATTTCAATTAATCCCATATGTTATGTTGTTCACTTTACGTGTTTCTCACTTTACGTGGGCCGCTGTGGGTTGAATTAACCGCGTAAAGTGAGGGTTCACTGTATATATGGTATATATACAGTGGTCCCTCGGTTAACGAACACAGAAGGTCGTTCGTTAACCGAAAATTTCGTTAACCGAAACCATTGTTTCAATGGGATTTTGGGTAATTGGTTCCAGCTCACCGAAAATACATACAAAGTAAAAAAAAAAGCAGTAAAGTACACTTACTTTGAGGTGTGTATGTAGAAGGCTCCTGGTTGATGATGATGATGATGATGGGAATTAGAAGTGGGGGTGGAGGAGAAGGGAGAAGAGAAGGAAGTGGGGGTGGAAGAGAAATCACCCCATGCTTCATGCTGTCATTTCACCCATAAAATTTTAAGTTTACTAGGTGTAAGTCAAGATTATTTTCTTTAAATCAACACTGCACTGCACTATACAGTATATTGTCAATATGTTAAATATATATCAGAATGACCAATAATTGTTCTGTAAAAACGTAGTAAAAACGTAAAAATACTCTGCGTTCAAGAGACCCACAAGCAAGATATTTCCTCCACTGAACAGAGATACAAACTGAGGCCTTGGTGGGTGAGTGAAGTGGCTGTTGGGCGCACTAAAAACTAGTTCCCTGTACGACAATTATATTAAATAAGTGTTAAAATCACTAAAAAATTTAATATAAAACTTGGAAAATTATTAAATAGTACAACCTTCTTGATATTTACTCCAATTTTAACGAATGTAAGCCCTAGAACCGATTTCTGTACCGGCGGACTAATCTTCCAGCTGGTGAGCAGGCCAAAGCATGTCGAAACATTTTTGTAAGAATTTCGTTTACCAAATTTTTTTTTGTTAACCGAATTGAATATTCTTATGGAAGGTAATTCGTTAACCGAAATTTCGTTAACCGAGGGACCACTGTGTGTATATATGTATGTATATATATATATATATATATATATATATATATATATATATATATATATATATATATATATATATATATATATATATATATATATATATATATATATATATATATACACACAGTCAACCCTCACTTTACGCGGTTAATTCAACCCACGGCGGCCCGCGTAAAGTGAGAAACACGTAAAGTGAACAACATAACATATGGGATTAATTGAAATAGAGACCGGGCTGACCCCCAAACTCCACTTTTTCCCGACACATTACGTACGTTTTACTAAAAATAACATCTTAACTTTATGATGGTATTCACCCACACATAATATAGAAGGGAACAGTCAATAAACTGAAGGTT